GTTGGGATCGTTCCGGTGGGAGCCAAAGGATTTCAGTCGCTCTGTGATGAAGGATTTCAGCACAGCCAGCCCTGCAGCTGTGCCAGGGGTTGCCCAGTCCACCTCCTTCACAGTGTGGTCCACCTGCAAGCTGGAATAACAGGCCTCCCAAGCAATGGGCTGGGCGGCGACTGAGCAGTGAGTGCCTTTGCAGATGCTTTTCAGCCAGGACTGTCCCAGAATGTTATGTCCCCTGGATGTCCCCAACCAGCAAGTCCCCAGCCCATGCTAGCTGCCTCCTCTTAACTAGCCCTCTGCATGGCAGAGATGTTGGAATTGAATGAATGAGGTGGGAACCTCCCCTTCCCCAGGGCATCCCCATTTCTACACCATCTGTGTGTGACCTCAGGCAGGTTACTGTCCCCACCCCCTGCCAACCCCTCCCAGGATCACAAAGCAGCTGTGAAACACGCTGGGACAGGTTGTGAATGGGTTTGGAGGTGTCTCCTGCTAGTACCTCTGCTGGGCAGGACGGGGGATATGGGTGACGAACAACAGGGGGGAACTCAGTGAGGAACTCAGGGAGCTGAGCGTGGATCTTGCCCCGGATGGTCCTGGCGCTGTATTCCTGCTTGGGGGAGGCAACCCAGCAGGGCACGATGTTGTGGGCATCAACCTGGGAAGCAAAGCCATGGAGGCAGTGTGACATGAAGCAAATGGTCCCAAATGACATGACACACATGCTCTCTGCTCAAGTCACTCCAGTGCAGAAAACACAGGAGACAAGTTTCTCCCACATCTCACCATCAAGAATTTTCCCTTCCCAGAGTGCTGACACCCACCTGTGCAAATGGCACATCCTCTGGCAACTGTTCCCTGACGTCCTCCACCCACTGCCGGGGGAGGCGGAGGGGACTGAAGTCTGTCACCAGCCCACCCACACCAAGCTCCACCACAAACGCAGGCAGCACGTCCTTGGGGTAGCCCAGCAGCAAGTGGAAGGAGATGTTCAGCTCTGCACACTCCTACAGCGACAGGGAAAGGGCTATGGGACAGTTCATAGCTCTGCAGACCCCAGCCAACCACCATCCGCCAAAGGGATGGATCTGCCTCCCCCTTCCCCAGAAGCCCTGTCCCACCCAGCAGGGACAACCCCTGGCTGTACCTCGGCCACCTCCTGCAGGCCTCTCAGCATGAAACCGTAGTGCCGGATGGCGGCCTCCAGGAATTTGGGCACCAGGCAGAAGCAGATGTGCAGAGGCAGCTCCTGTTTGAGGGCCAGGCGCTGGGCGTAGAGGAAAGCCCAGTTATCTGGGGAGAAATCACACAGGGCAGTGTCAGGAGGATGCTTCACTGAAGAGATGGGGATGGGGTTTCACAAGAAGTTTCTCCCCAGACGCCCCTGCAGAGGGGGGCCAGGTCCAAGGCCTACCGGGGGAAGGGACCAGAGCCATGGGAGCTCTGCTTCCCGGCCCCTTCTGCCAGCTGGTTCGCACCTTGTACCCGCTGATCCCGGCACATCCAGTAAAGGATGCACCGAGCATTATCCTTCAGGTCCGAGCCCTGCGAGACGAGGCGAACCCGCTTTTTGTTGTACTTGAACTCTCGCACGGATGGGGCCGCCTTCCGCCGGGCCTCCTGCATCGCCTCCTCTTCCTCCGTCCTCCTCCGAGACACGCGAGGCACCTCCGTGACCTCGGCCTTTCGCTTCCCTTGTCCCCGCGGCATCCTCAGGACCGCCCGGGCCAGCGCCCGGAGCACCGTGGCTGCGAGCGGCCGCTGCGAGAGAAAACGAGACCGTGCTGCACTTCCGAGAGGAAACGAAACCCTGATGAGCTTTCCCTCTTCCTTGCGCATCCCAGTCCGCCCCCAGAGCCCGGGGGATGCTGGTCCCCTGCCCATCCTGGTCCTCGGGCACGGGTGCCCTGCCCGTTCCGTTTACCGATCCGATCCGCTCCTGGTCCCCGATCCCCGGGTAGGGGTCCCGACCCCGACCCCCGACCCCGACTGCGATCCCGACCCGACCCCGACTCCGATCCGACCCCGACCCCGATCCCGATCCCGATCCCGACCCTGACCCGATCCCTACCCGGCAACCACGCGGTCCTCCCAGTGTTACACAAGCTCGTGGCGTGTGTAAAGGGCGTGTCATGGGTGTGGCCTCGTGCAGGAGAGGGCGTGCCCCAGCGCCTGGGACCGCCCCCCGCCCTCGGGCGCAGGTGCTGCCCCGATGTCCCCGACGCGCCCACGGCGCTGCACCTGCTCGGGAGGGGGGACAGTGCCCGCTGGTGCCTCCCCTCCCTGCCCCCGGGAACGAGGAAGCAGCTCCAGCCACCTTCAGCCATCACTCGGCAGCGCAGTTCCCCACTAGCACCATCCTACGCGCTGTGTCCTCAGGTCCACACCTTGCAAGGCATGGGGGTGCTGGCTTTGGACATGTCTGGGGGGACAGGAGGGCTGCCCGTGCTGCTGCTGAGCCTTGCTGTGCTGGATCTTATGCTGGGTAAGGGCTGAACGGTATGTGGTGGTGTCTGGAGTGCATGGGGAGGGGAGAGCATCAATCTCCAGAGTGGTGGGTGGCCCTGTAGTGGCTTCAGCCACAGAGGTGAAACGCTGTGGGTGTTGTTTGCTCTCCAACATCTCAGCTCTATCCTAGTGAGTGAACAGGGCAGCGCTTTGCAAAACATGAGCGACGAGCTTGGCTTTATTTCTTTTGCCTCTCACGTGGGTCTCCATCTGGGCAGAGAAGACCTTGGACCCAGCTGGACCCCCTCGCTGAACCTTGGTCCATGCTGGGCTCACTGCCTTTGCTACAACCTGCCCAGCAGCACCAAACAGCCCTGCCTGGATGGCAACATCACCAGGATGTACTGGGCCTGGAAAACTTCAAATGCCACCCAACGCTGGCACTTGACACAAAGCAAGAGCAGTGTTGAGTTGAGCCCAGGGAATAAACCTGAGGCTTGTACCTACTGGGATAAACCTGAGGCTTGTACCTTCTGAGACCCTCAAGCTACAGCCATAGGTTCCTTCCTGCTGCATCCCTCAACCCCCTTGCAGAGGTTTTGTGGGTCACAGCAGGTCTCTCATGGACTTGCCCTGAGCTGCAAGCTGGTATTTTTTCCTTTGTAGGGCTGCTTCCCCCGTTGCCATTATTTACACCCAGTGCTATCAGTTCCTGACTATCTGCAGCAGAGAGGTTTGTGTAAACTGCTGCTGCTGCATTTCCAGACTGTCTCACGGTCACCAGTTCCTGCTCAGCTCTTCCTGTCAGACGGGTTTGTCCGACTTCCTCCAGGGATGGGTGAAGGTGGTGGAATGGGTCTCAGGACTGGCACCTACAGGAGTTTCTACCCTGGCACCGGTGATGCCATGGCTTGTTCCTACTTTGTCAGGCTGGAGATTTACGTGGTTTGCCTTGCTGATGGTCACGCTGCCATTCAGGGAAACCACGTGCTTGATCCATGCAAGGTGGAAAATCCCCAGTCCTGACGATCCATGACTGATGCAAGGCTTGGGCGGCTCATGGTGGTGGTAATGTTGCACCATCCCCAGCAGAGTCATGATCTCAGCCTTTCACTGCCAGCCCTTGTGTGCTGTCTGCCACCTCTTTGCAGGGACCACTGTCAAAGACATGACAATCCCTGCATCCCTGACTCTCCTTACATGCTTGACACCCACAGAGACCATGGCACTGCTGCCCAACACCAGCTCAAGCACTGCAGCCACCCTCCCTCCCTCCAGTCCTGCAACCTCCACCCCAGAGATGCCAATGGATGCCTTCACACCCAGTGCTGCTGCACCTCAGGGGAGCAGCCTGGAAGCCTCCAGCATCGCCACAGCACAGGAGAGGGGCAGCACTACTGGATCGCCTAGGCTGGGGCTCACCACTGGCACGCCAACAGGGGTGGGGCTCACCACCGGCACCCCAACTTCAACCTCCATGGCCATAACACCCAACTGTCCCAAGGCAACCAATGTCACATCTGTGGGGACCAGCACAGCCCTGGCTTTGAGCTCATTTGGAGCTGAAATGAGCACGCTGCCTCCCCCCACATCTACTCTTGTCTCCTCCACCTGGGTGGGCACCACACTTGGCACCAGCACCCACCAAGGGCCAGCCATGACCACGCTGCTTGGCAGCACATCCCCAGGGAGTGCCAGCACCTCTTCTCCCACCACACCAGCACTGACAGACACTTCAAACAAGCCCTTGACAACCCCATCAGACACCACAGCCTCCCTCATTACTAGCACGGTGGCCACCAAGGGCACCCCTGCCCCCAGCCAGCCAGTTGGGACCACGGCCAGGACCACCCTTGGTACCTCCACCCTGACAGCACCTGAGACTACCAGTGCCACTGCAGGTGAGTGCAGCCATGGGACACCTGGGGGGCAGGATCAGGGTGGCAAATCCCCATGGGATCTTCCATCCTGCTCAGCCAGGCCCCTGGCTCCTTCCCCACAGCCCAGCCCATGGCCTGGCTCCAGCCCTGTGGGGGCTGCCTGGTCTCTAGGCTCTTCAGGCCAGTGGATGGTCCTATGCTGGACTGTGACTGTGCCTTGGTGGGACTGTGCCTAGCAGTGTGACTGTACCAGGGTCTGACAGTTCCTGATGGTGTGGCTGTACTGCAATTGTGCGGCTGCGCTGTGGCTGTACCTCTGTGGTGTGGCTGTACTGCAGCAGTGTGGCTGTACTGTGGCTGTGCCATGGCTGTGTGGCTGTGCCCCTGGCAGTGAGCCTGCACCTTGTCAGTGAGACTGTACGTACCCTGTACCTCAAGGAATGGGCCTGTACCCCAGCAGTCCCCTTACCATGGGACTTAAAATGTGCCCTGGTGACACCCCACTCCATGCACATCAACCAGAGCAGGGAGACTGTGCCCTATCCCAGTACCCCTGGCTGTGCACGGTACCACGATGTCCCTGGTGTCCCTGTACCCCAGCAGAGCAACTGTGTCCTCACAGAGTACCTGCACCCTGGCCTAATGCCCACAGTGTGAGAGCACCTCATCAGAGTGCCTGTACTCTGGTGATGGCCTCTGTGTGCCTGTGCCCCAGCAGTGCCCCCGTGTACCTGTACAGCAGCAGGGCAGATGTGCTCTGACAATCCTCCAGCATGCCTTGCCTTCCTGCCTGCGGAATGCCTGTACCTGGCCCAGTGCCTGCAGGCGCCTCTGACTGGTCTTGTCCCTGACCCTGAGAAGAAGGAAGCTCCAGCTGTGAGCAGTACACTTCAGCTGTGATACGCTGTGACACGGGGAAGTGATGCCTGTACAGACAGCCCAGGGGACAAACCCTCAGCCTGGAGCACGCCCTTCCTGAGTGCTGCCTGTTCTCTCGGCCAGTTCCTCACGCTCAGGCAGAGCTGCCTGTTGTCTCCCGAGGGCGTTGGTGCTGGGAGCCACCACCAAACATCACCCCTGTGGCGAAGCGCAGGGACGGTTCCAGGTAGCCTGGCTACTTCCCTGGACTTTTTTCCATTGTCACACTCTCCTCAGTAGGCAGAGGACGGCACAGTCCTGAGCTGCAGGGACCAGGTCTGTCGTAGTGGTGGCCTTGCTGGCCTGCCCTGCCCACTGCTCGTGGCTGCTCTGGGTCCAGCCGTGCAGTTGATGTCTGACCTGGAAACCTCAGTGCTGGGGCTGTGGGGAGCACTCAGAGCTGTGCCTGCGGGGTGTAACAGTTCCTGCTCACCTGGACATGGCTGGGCAGAGAGGGGGGCTGCCCCTGCTCTTGCCCCTGCTGCTGCTGCTGTTGCTGAGCCTCACCTGCCTCGCCGTGCTGCACCTTGCTCTGGGTAAGGGCTGAGTGGGATGTGGTGCTCTCCACGGGGTGGGTGGTGAGTGGGGAGCATCATTCCCCAGGGTGGTGGGGAATGATCCTGCATCTGTGGGGTGGGGGGGTGAAATGCTGCGGGTGCTGTTTGATAAATGGGAAGCAGAGGTGGACTTCTGGCTTCTCCTTTGTGTGAGGATGAGGCCCTTCAGTGCAGACACTCACCTGGTGTGGGCTGGGATCAGACCTTTGCCCTTCTCTACATTGTTATTTAAGCAGCTGCTGTGTGCAGGGAGGGAGTGGCTGCCGGGGGCTTTGGAAGTTTCTGGCTGGGTTGGCTGAAAGCAGATGGTGGTTTGTGGCTCCGTTTCCCATTCTCATGTAAGCAGAGCCCCAGACTCACTGTGTTTCTGCTGGGAACACTGGGGGATCCAGTCTGGCGTCCCAAAGCCGCCACCTCACAGACACCCCTTGACAAAGGGTCAGGCAGCCAGGCTGTCCTGTGCATCCTTTGGAGTAGGTTACAGATCCCTGGGCTTTGCTTGGGGACAGCACACTGCCCTGGCACAGGGTCTGGGTGGGAAGAGAGGATGTCCCTCCTCTGTCTCACAACCCCCTGGCAGTTTCGTGGGTCACAGCACGTCTCTAACGGCTCGCCCTGAGCTGCAAGCTGGGATTTGTTCCTCTGTGGGGCTGCTTCCCCCGTTGCCATTATTTACACCCAGTGCTATCAGTTCCTGACTATCTGCAGCAGAGAGGTTTGTGTAAACTGCTGCTGCTGCATTTCCAGACTGTCTCACGGTCACCAGTTCCTGCTCGGCTCTTCCTGTCAGACGGGTTTGTCTGATTTCCTTCAGGGATGGGTGAAAGTGATGGAATGGGTCTTAGGACTGGCACCTACAGGAGTTTGTGCCCTGGCACGGTGATGCCCATGGCTTGTTCCTACTTTGTCAGGCTGGGGATTTACATGGCTGACCTTGCAGATGCCCATTCAGGGAATCCACGTGTTTGATCCATGCAGGATGGTGAATTTCCATTCCCAATGGTCCATGGCTGATGTGTAGCTTTGATTTCCTTGGGGACCTCATGGTGGTGGTGATGCTGTGCCATCCCCAGAACAGCCATGGCCTCAGCCTTTTACCACCAACCCTTGTGCATCTCATTGTCCAACCTCTTTGCAGAGACAACTGCCATGGGTGTGACAGCAGCCACGTCCCCATCTCCCCCCACCTCCTCAATATCTATGGAGACCTCTGCACAGCTGCCCACCACTGACTCCACCACTGCAGCCACCCTCTCTCCCTCCAGCCCTGAAACAGAAGCTTCCACCCCAGAGAGGTCCAGCACATCCCCAGGGACTGGCAGCACCCCAACTCCCACCACGCCTCCTCCCACCACAACAACAGCTACTTCATCTGAGCCCTTGACAACCCTGGCAAACACCACGGCCAGCCCTGTTATCAGCACGGAGGTCCCCCTGAGCACCCCCTCTCCCAGCCACCCGGCCAGGACCACATCCAGGACTACCCCTGGCATCTTCCCCCCAACTATGGAGTCGACTCCAGGTACCCTGCCAGTATCTGGGACCCCCAGTGCAGCCATGGGTGGGTTCCCTACGGGAAGGTAGGGACACTTTCACGGGGACAAATCCTCACAGGGATTCTGGGCATGTCCTAGGGTGGCTTCATGTATGTGTCTTTGCTTAGGCTTGGTCCGTCCCCAGCTGCAGGAGCATCCTGCACCTCTGCAGAGAGTACTAACGTAACATTGCTTTGCACAGGCATTGAGTTCTCTTTCCCCACCACGAACTCGACCCAGACCTCAGAGGTTACCCACAGCACCTCTGCAGACCTGCCAATGCCGCCACCCGTCTGCCCCACTGGCTCATCCAACACCAGTAAGTGTAGTGCCTGTGGGCATCACCACCCACCCATTGTAGTATTGGACTGCCACAGGCTAGTGCAGGGGGTCCTGGAACCCCACTGCTTTTGCCATGTTCTCAGTGATGCTCTGGGGAATGTGCTCTGGGTTTGCTGTACAGTGGGAGGGTTGTTCTCCTGACAGTGTAGAGTGTCCATGATACAATGAACCTGGGCGGAGGTCCTGTGTCTGTGCCAGCAATCTGATGGAAAGACCCCCAGGTTCTCTGTTGCAATCCAAGGTTCAAGGGCAATAACCAGAGCCACATTTTTTGTCCCTAGGTGCATCTCGCCTCTTCCTGTCTCTGCGGCTAAGCACCCCCCTGGACCTGGGGAACAGCACGGTGCAGGAGCTGGTGTTGTCCAAGGTAAGGTGTGTGGGAGGAGATGCCATTTTGCATCTGCCAGCCATGGTCCAGGCAGTCAGGGCGGGGTCAGGCAGCCAGTGGGAGGAGAAGGCTGGGTCTTGCATTGATTGTCACCTGTAGCCCTTTTGGATGAAGGGGAGACCCTCTAGCTGACACACTTCAGGATCAGGCCCTTTCGAGGTGGGGACAGGGGGTAGGAAACCCCCTCTGGCATGGTTTGATGGCTGTTCTTTCCCCACAGCTCCGTGAGAACCTTCAGACAGCATTCCCGTGCGCTGGCCTGTCATTGGAATGGCGAGGGAAGAGGAGCCCCTGACCACTGCCCCTCGCCCTGCCAGCTCCCACATGTACTGGCGAGTCATCTGCTCCCGGCTCCTTACTCCATGGCAGTGCAGCCCCTTGGGGTAACCTGCACAGCTCCTCTTGAACTTGGGGCTCCCCGTCCTTCCCTGTGCCCCTCCAGTGCCCCCCGTGGGCTGCGGTGCCCCTGCCCCTTCCCACAGCCTGTCTGTAAAGGCCAACACCTCCCACCACCCTGCTCCAGACCCGGCTCCTGTGGTGTGACCCCTTCCAGCGCTGCCAGGGGGCTGGAAGGAGAGGACCCTGCGGGACTGGGCTTTTACAGCTGGGACTGTGCTGGCTCAGCCATCAAAGCCACCCTGGGGACTGATAGATGAGAGGAAGGAGACCTGGAGCCCCCAGTACTGCTGTGCCCAAGGCTCACCTGCGGTATTGCTGACAGAGGAGCAGGCCCGTGCCAACACGGGCCGGGCAGTAAATAGAAACTCCATGCTTTCTGTGTTGAAGTTGATGACTTCTTTATTTTTCAAGTTGCCTTTCACAATTTTCAGCTTTGCCATCTGTTGGAGGTACAGGAGAGGAAAGCCGCCCGAGTCTCAAAAGCTTCACATGGAGAGACAGGCTCAGGGCTGTCCCCTCCTGGCAGGGGCGGCCACAGACATTCCCGAGGATGGCTGGGAACTCCAGCAGACGGGGGTCCCTGCTTTGGTGCTCTCTGCCCCATGGCACCCCACAGCTGCTGGGGCAGTTCTACACACCACGGGGCCGTGGAAATCCTGTGGGCTGTGCTCCTTCCCTGTTTTTTTCCAGTCCCCAGCTAAGGAGACGGCCGCAACATCTGTCCCCCTGCAGCAAAGTCATTTATTAACTGATTAATTAGCCAGATAAAATCCAACTGAAGCAATTATTAGCCTAAGCAAGTCACCTCGCCTGGAGATTGAAAACTAAAATAATTAGAAAATAGCCCTGTTGCGTGTCAGGGATTGTTTTTGGCTGATCCCTATTCCTCACTGGCAGCCCTCACCGCCCCAGCACAGGGAGGGCTGGGAAGGGGCGCATGAGGCTGAGGGATGCCAAATATGGGGACTGCTCCCAGGCTGCCCGGGTTGTCAACCATCTGGGAAGGAACCAGCAGCTGGACAGGATAGGGAAAGACTACATGGGATCACCTGGCTGCCTGCCAGCTCTCAGGGGCTGGGAGAGGCTGGGCTGGGGCTGGAGGCCTGTGCCCAGGCAGCTTGTAGGGATGCTCCCACTTGGGATGCCCCTTGCATCCCAGGGTTGCCCCTTTGCTCTTTAGGATGCTGCCTGTCTTTCGTGGGCTTGTTGGACTCACTGACACCGAGAGAGGTCCCTTGGCACCCGGGCAGGGAGCTGGGGAGTAGGGCAAAACCTGCCAGAAGGGGTCCCCGTGCTGGACGCCTGATGGGGTGCTGGGAAAGAAATCCTTGTGGTCTGCCTACGCCGTGGAGCTGGGCCAAGAGTCCTCCCACGTCGTGTCCCACCGGGCTGTTTTCTCCGGCTGTTGAATCCATAACTTCAGACCCCGGGACATGGCTGGGTGCCAAAGCCGGCGTAGTGGAGCCAAACTGCGTCACAAAGGGAGGAAAAGGTCCTGAAGCGCTGGGATGAAAAGGTGACTGGGGTACTCACTGTCCTCTGCCAGCACGGCTGCCTTCCACCGTTATCGTGGTCGGGGGGCAGTGAGAGGAGGAGATGTTCTGGTCCCCTCTGCCCCCAGCCCGGGAGGGAGAAGAGGGACACAGTGGGGGCATGTGGCTCATGTGGGGGTGGTGGTCACTGCCCAGGCACTGGCAGCACAGAACTCTGGCAAGTCCCTGACACTACCCATGTTCTCCTTGCCTGCCATCCTCGAGGATGCTGGCTGCCACTTTCACCCCGTGGCTGCTTGCCTGCCATGGATCTCTGACCAGAGGGGCCTTGGGAGGTTGTATCCAGGTCCTGCTACTTTCCCAGCCCACAAATCAGTTCTCACCATCTTTGCTGTGATCCACTGCCATCTACCAGCATTTTCCCAAGGAGCAGACCCAGTGCCCAGCAGGACTGTCCCCTTCAGAGGGCCTGGCAGCATCATGGAGTGCCTATCTCCCTTGTGACTCAGATGTCCCTTCCAGTGTCCCCCTCCCCTTCAGCCCTGCCGATGGCTATAGCCCAACTCCTGCTGTTTGGCAGGAGGGTGTTGCAACACACCCAGCATGCCAAGTCATCCAGAACCTGTGGAGTTGATGGATAACCTGGTTTCCCCCACTACCACCCTGAGCCCTCTCCAAATGCCCTTGCCAGGAGGCTAGAGGGGATCCAGTAGGAGATGCTGTGTTCTCTACAAAGCTGGATCAACCAGCCCATTAATTCCAGAAAGGCTGATAAGGCACTGTGCTGGGCCATGCTCTGCTGTGCTGGAAGGTGTAGAGCCCCTGGGTGCTGGGATTTGTAGAATTACCCCATGGCTACAGCCTCCTGAAGGGCTCCAGTGCCCACATGATGCTTTGGTCCTTGGTAACTGCTGATGAAAGTCATTCTTTCAGGAATCAGCGCTTTGTCAGGATATTTGTTTCAGGAGTAGCAGAAGGATCATTAAAAAGCCCCTTCCCAGGGTGGGAGCTGGACACCATCCTTGAGACAAGGCATCCCTCAGTGACTGCAGGCTTTCTTGGGAGGGTGTACCAATCAATGCCAGAGCAGAGGGACAAATTTGGTGTGTCATCCCTGTGATTCTGCTGGGAGATGAGTTTTCTTGGGGACAGCATGAGCAGGAGTTGGAGGTATGAGGGTCTCCAGGCAGAGCTGGCTTGGGGAGCATGGACAGGAGCTTGCAGGAGGGCTGAGGCTACCACCTTGCTTCAGCCAGGTTGCTTTCCCCTATGCTGAGCAGCACGTTTGCAACAGTCCCTGTGGTTTCCACCACGTTTTACACCTCAAACACCATCTGGAGCAGCCTTCTCCAGCGTCAGCATATATTCCCTGTTGGGGTGGCTTTCCAAAGTGATATGGCATTGTCAGCACAGGCAGGAACAACTCTCCCACGGTAGGTTTGTATCCCTCTAATCCTCCATCAGCCCAGGTGTGGTGGCTGCTCAGGTGGTCACTGGCTGGGCAGTCACCCTGTGATCTGCAGTGCTGGTTGCACAGGCCCCCAGTGCACTGTTCCCCCCTGGCTTTACCCCCACACCAGCATTTTCAGTGAGCAGGGGAACATTTGTTCCAGGTGAGTGGCACTCCCCCCGATTTACGGTCTGTGCCCAGTTCCCACTGCCAGGGGTAATGCGTGGGTTTACAGGATGGTGCTTCACCAGCCGTGACTTGGCCTCCCCTGGCATTTCCCTGTTGACTCTGCCTAGTTGTTGGATTGGGGGTGTCCCTCAACGTGCCCAGCCACTGCTGCCTGCCTAACGGAGGCCAGCTCCAGCGGGACACTCTGTACTGCCTAACACCCCTCATAACACTTTGCAGGAGTTGCCTGGGGGCATTTCTGGTTAAGAAGTGTTTAATTGACTACAGAACCATGTAGTGGTGGAAGTTTGCATAATGCTGTTCACGAGGGAGCTGGCAGCAGTTTTCACAGAGGGGGGGATGTGCAAGAATTGCTGCTTCAGGAGAAGGAGGAAGGAGAAATATAGGGGTGAAGTGACTCAGGGGATCAAGGTGAAGTGACACGAGGATTCCCCATAGCAGGGAAGGGGGTCCAGGCCTGCGACTTTTCCTGCTCTAGCTTCTGGGGATGCTGGTCCCACCTTGCAGAGAAGCTTTCCTGGATAATTTGCCCCCTCCCAGCACCCCAGCACTGCTGTGCCCATACTGAAGTGCAGGTTTCAAACCCCACTGGGACATGCTGGAGCTCTGGACAGGGATCTCTAGTGCTTCCAGTTGCAGCTGAGCACTGAGAGCTCAGCTGATGCTCCAGAGCCTTCCCCAGCCATACATCCCTGCTTTATAACCTGAGTCTGCTCCCAAAAAAGCTTTGAACCAAGTAGGCTCTTGCGTCTTGCCTTGCCCTCGGCTGAGACGTGGCTCAGTGGGTGATTTGAGTGCCCATGGTGTCCTCACAGGCATGGTAGCACCAGCTGGCACTGTTCTGTCACCACCACACACTCTGTGGCCCCCTACCCTGAATGGAGCAGGTTCCTGTGGGGTCCATGGGGTGGCTGCCATGGGGAACAGGTGGGGTGACTGCCATGCCACTGTTGGCAGTGCCACACCCTGTTCTGGGCTCAGCTTCACCTCCTGGTGCTGGTGGACCAGGGAGCTGGGTCCTGCAGGGTGGTCTTTGGGTAACCCCCAGCCCATGCCACAGCTGAACAGGGCATCCAGACCTTGGGAAGGGGAGGGCTCGACCGGAAGGGAATGGTGACAGGGACATTGGAGGGAAGGGACCGGGGGCGGGAGAGGACGTCGGCAACCTGCCTCCTTCTGCCATCCCTATAAATAGGAGGGAACAGGAGCAGGAACACCTGTGGGACTCCAGCTCTGCAGGAGAGGCAGGCAGGGAGGGACAGACGGAGCTGCTCCTTGCTGCTCTCTCCTCCCTTTGAGCTTCCTAGTGCTCTGCCTGTGTGGGGGCCTGAGGAATGGGGACTAGGGGATGGACGCTCTCCACCTTCCTGGGATGCTGCGTCTGGATTCTGCATGGTATGTCCAATATTTTTGTGCTAGCTCATGTGCTACCTGAGCCCTGTCAGGGTGCAGCAGGTACACTGTGAGATGCTTTTCCCTCCTGGCTGCACTGGAAAGTCCTTGCAATAGATTGCAGCCAAGGAGCTGGAAAAGTGTTTTACGGGGCAGGCATCACCCCGAGGGGCTGGTTGCAGGCGTGGAGCCGTGGGAGAGGTGAGAGCCCAGCCCAGAAGCCTGCAGGCAGCCGTGTACCCCTCCAACAAGGGAAGCCAGCCGGCAGAGCAGGACTCGGGGATGTTCCCATCCCTCCCACGTCCCAGGAAAGAGCAAATGCTGGTGTTCCATGCTGGGGCCCCTCTTGCACTGACTTCCCATAAATGGGTGTGTGGGGTAGATGGTGTTTCCTGCTCCACACGGAAGAATTAAGATAAAACACGGATTTGCTGGAGTAGAGTGTGCCAAATTAACCTGGGGGGACTTCACTGATGTGCTTTGTTTTCCCTGAGGTGGGGACAGAAGCAGCTGAGCTCCTCTGGCTGAGTGGGCTGGTGTAAAGAGCTTATTTCAGCTGGGAGAGATGGTGAGGAAGCAGCCTGCCAGGAAAGGGAATGGGGCTCTGGAAGAGGATGGACCCCTTGAGGACTGGTCTGGCATAGGAGATAATGCTCATTAATGACTCTGCACAAGCTATCTGTAAGCTAATGAGCTGAGCCGGTGGTGAGGTTGGAGGCACCTCCGCTGCAGGGAGTTCTGGCTGCCTGTCAGGGGGAACCTGATGAACCGGAGCACCAGGGTGGGGAGCAGGCTGGGGCTGTCGGGTGGTGGCGAAGCCCTGGCAAGTCTTGCCATCGGGGTGCCCTTCATCTCTCCTAATTGCAGCTGCCTAAAGCCAAGTGTCAGCAGATCCACCCAGCTCCTCCTGGAGCCAGCAGAGGCAGCCTGGTCTCCCCAGAGCCTTCATCCCTGTCCTAAATATAATACTGGGTGAAACATCACCCATGGGTGCCAGTAGGTGCTGGGAGAAATGTCTGGGATGTGGGCAGGTGTCTCCTCCTTTCAGCAAAACTCCTACATGTGGGTCAGGATTTTGGCAGCAGGAGGAGTGAGCTGTGAGCAGGGTTTGGCCAGGGAAGCTTGTAAATATTCCCTTCATGGACAGGAAACCCCCGATGCCTTCACCCAGGTGGAGGCAAGAGAGGTGGGGGCAGTAGCAGGTAGATGCCCACCCCAGTAGAGGTTTAACAAACCTGCTTTAACTGCAGCAGGTCAGAATCCATCTGCAGTCAGGGAAGGCTTCTCTAAGCCTTGGCTGTCCTCGCTGCCAAAGGGCTTTGGGTAAAGTTATTTAAATGTCTCAGACACCCGGAAGGCAAAAAGACACAGAACCCCCCCAGGCCCTGCAGAAGTGACTGCACTCAGATCTGTCCCTGAAGCAACAGAAAGAGGGCTGAGGGCTGTCCTGGGGTGACAGAGCTTCACAGACACCCCTTGGGCTGTGAGCTAGACTTACTGGGCCCCAGCTCTACCCAGTGGCCAGGCAGTACCACCCCCAGCATAATTGGACTGGGTTGCAGTGGCTGCCTTTGCCCCCACGCTTGCACCAGTGAGTGTCTCTCCCTCATCTGTGATGAGTTGTGTTCTGTCCCATCTGGTAGCTGCTCATGTTGAGGATGGAAGAGGTGCTGTGCAGTGCTATGCCTAAGGCAGCCCAGACTGCACTCCTTGGCTCTTAAATCAGAGCCTTGTAAGGCTGTGGGATGAGGCAGTAGGGTTAAAGAAGGGCTGAGAGCTTTGTGATGCTCAGCTGGAGGAGAGGTGTGTCTGAGCCTGGCAGGCTGCTCTCTCTGGCACTCAGTGTAATGCTCTGCTTTGTGCTTTTCTGCAGGGCTTGGGGCTGCTGCTGCCCCTGTCACTACTGAGGGGCCCTTTACTGTGGGGACAGCTTTTCCCATCAGAGCAGAGAATGAAGGGCCCAGTGCCCTGGTGACGGGCACTGCGGACACAAGCACCACGGCGGCTGATGCTGAGATAGACGAGAGCATCTTCACGAGGAGCCCACTGAGTTTGACCTTCCCTCCCAGGACCGAGCTGGACTCTTTTGTGACTGCGATGAGTGAATATGGCTCTACAGTGCCAACCTTGATGAATGTGACCAAGCCTCTTAACACATCTCAGGGTATTGAGGGGAGGTTGGCTGCTTCCACTACAGCCACAACCGCTGCTGCTATCACTGCACAACACCCTGCTGTCACCCCAGAAGCAGAGCATGAGGTAATAGAGGCCACTCCTGATCCCACCCTAGACATCAACCCAGATGTGAAGGAAGACATCCCTGCAGCTGTGACCAGAGGAGAAGAAGACATAGACCTCACCACTGGCAATATGTCCTACCCTACCACCCCTCCACCAGCAGATGCCTGGGTGCCACAGCCAACTGCTGGCAGCCCCGTGGGTGTCAGTGTCACTGTGCTACCAAGCCAAGGGCTGACCACAGCCGTGGGAGCAGTTGAGGAAGTCGTAACTCTGTCTGCATCTGTCCAAAGTGGAGCCAATGCCAACTCCTTAAGTCCCAGCCCCAGCACTGAGGAGCTGCTTACGACCCAGCAGGGTGGAGTGGTGAGCAGGGTTGAGGGCACTAACCCAGAGACAGCAGAAGAAATGGTCCCAGCTGCTGAGGAAAGTCCCTTTGCTTCAGAGTCTGGAGATGCAGGAGATACAACGAATGGTGAATTCAGCACAGCCAGTTCATCTCACCTACCTCCAGAGAGCCCAGTGATGTCAGAAACAGTGGGAAACCCTGGAGAGCCCTCCTTCCTCCCTGGCCACGCAGTGCTGAACCCAGACGCTTCGCTGGCACCGTCCACAGGGAATGGAGATGGGCAGGGAGTGTCATCAGAAACTTCTGGTTCAGCTCTGTCACCTGCAGCCAGTGAGGCACCAGTGGCACCCGAGGAAACAGAGGACACTGCCACAACACTGTTGGCCCCAGAGGTTCCCACTTATGCACAGAGTGATATGAATCTCCCAACCGTGGCCACTGTGCTGCCCACAGGAGACATGGGGGCTGTGGGTCTGGACAATCCATCCCTGCAGCCTGACCCATGGCAGACCTTCACTGGAGAACAGCCACCACTGCTTCCTGATGCTCTGACGGACACCCCCAGTGCTCCTGGGGCTGCTTACCCACTCCCAGGGGCTGAAGCCAACACCCTGTCTGCAGCTGATGGTGCAGCAGAGACACCATCCAGCCCCAACCTCACTACTGCCCCAGAAGCACCCATGTCTCCATCTCTTGGAGAGTCACAGCCAGGAGGGATGCCAGATGGACCTCCCCAAGAATCTGATGGACCTGACACTGGCTTGAGTTCAGATTCAGATGCCTCTAGCCCAGCCCCCTTTGTACCTGATGGACTGGCATGGCCCACTGCTGGGGTCCAGGGTCAGGGAGCTCAGGGGGCAGAGGACATGGCACAGACAGGAGGTCCAGGGGATGGCAGTCCCTATACAGACACCCAGAGTGACATAAGCCTTTCAGACACCCAGCCCTCAGCCTCTTCTGCTAATAATGGAGAGCTGCTGGCTGGAGGAACAGGAGATTTGGCAAGTGCTGGGCAGTTGCCTCCATCAGCTCTTGGGGATGGAACAGGAGCAGGAGATGCCTCAGCACTGGGAGAAGCGTCCTCACCTGGTTCTGTACCTCCCAGCAGTGCTGGAATTGAGCCCGATCTCTCAGGGGCTGAAGGACCAGTGGACCTGCCCAATGAATCTACCAGTGGTCCTGGGGCTGTTTACCCACTCCCGGGGGCTGTGTCTGGCCCTGCATCTGAGACAGAGACACCAGTGAGCTCCAACCTCAGTGGTGCCCAGGGAGCACCTGGCTCTCCATCCTTTGGTGGGTCGCAGCCATGGGGAACAGCAACTGGTGCTCCCCAGGGAGCTGGTCTCTCTGGAGGTGAAGGACCAGACTCTGGCTTGTCTTCGTCAGGAGATGCCCCCAGCTCAGCAGTTCATGGACTGGCAGGACCCCCATCACCTGCCCTTGAGGACCAGCTTGGCACAAACCTGGGGCTGCCAGCAGCTGGAGGGCCTGGAGTGGGCACAGCAGAGCAGGCACTGGAAGGAGCAGGCAGTGGGATTGATTCTGAGCCGTCCCTGAGCTCCACTGCAGGCAGTGGGATGGTAGCTGGGATAGATCAACTTCCCGGTGAAGGTTCCTCATCCGGTTCTGCCTTTCCCAGTGATGTGGTGGCAGCACCTTCTGTTTCAAGGGGTGATGAAGCAGGACCCATCTCAGGTGCACCCCTTGGCCCTAACAGCCTGTCCTCGGCCTCTCCGGCCAGTGAAACTGGCCCAGGGATTGGTCTGGTGGAGGGGGCAGAGAGTGGAGGGGATGTGGCACAGGCTGGAAACCCAGAAAGTCCCTACATAGAGACAAATCCTTCAGCCTTCAACCCTCAGCAGGACCCCGCTAACACCAGAGAGCTGCCAGCAGGAGAAACAGGGGCTCTGGTGAATACTGAGCAGTCCCCTCCACCAGCTCTCGGGGTCGGAACAGCAGCAGGAGATGCCCTGGCACTGGGAGAAGTGTCCTCACCTGGTTCTGTACCTCCCAGCAGTGCTGGAATGGAGCCTGATCTCTCAGGGGCTGAAGGACCAGTGGACCTGCCCAGTGAATCTACCAGTGGTCCTGGGGCTGTTTACCCACTCCCGGGGGCTGTGTCTGACCCTGCATCTGAGACAGAGACACCAGCAAGCCCCAACCTCAATGGTGCCCAGGGAGCACCTGGCTCTCCATCCTTTGGTGGGTCACAGCCATGGGGAACAGCAACTGGTGCTCCCCAGGGATATGGTCTCCCTGGAGCTGAAGGACCAGACTCTGGCTTGTCTTCGTCAGGAGATGCCCCCAGCTCAGCAGTTCATGGACTGGTAGGACCCCCATCACCTACCCTTGAGGACCAGCTTGGCACAAACCTGGGGCTGCCAGCAGCTGGAGGGCCTGAAGTGGGCACAGCAGAGCAGGCACTGGAAGGAGCAGGCAGTGGGATTGATTCTGAGCCATCCCTGAGCTCCACTGCAGGCAGTGGGATGGCAGCTGGGATAGATCAACTTCCTGGTGAAAGTTCTTCATCTGGTCCTGCATCTCCCAGTGGTGTGGTGGCAGCACCTTCTGTTTCAAGGGGTGATGAAGCAGGACCCATCTCAGGTGCAGCCCCTGGTCCTGACAGCCTGTCCTCGGCCTCTCCGGCCAGTGAAACTGGCCCAGGGCTTGGTCTGGTGGAGGGGGCAGAGAGTGGAGGGGATGTGGCACAGGCTGGAAACCCAGAAAGTCCCTACATGGAGACAAATCCTTCAGTTTTCAGCCCTCAAGAAGATCAACTGCCTGGTGCAGGTTCCTCATCTGGTCCTGCCCCTCCCAGTGGTGAGGTCGCAGCATCCTCTGTTTCAGATCCATCCAGCCAGAGTGCACTTGGAGGAGAGGGCAATGCTCCTGAGGCTCTTCAGCCTTCCCTGGATGTTCCTGGGGTTCCTGCTGCTGCAGGAGAAGGGGCAAGTGAAATGGCTGGTAACGGAGAGTCCATGGGGCAGTCCCAGGCTCCTACTGGAAATGGACCAGCTGGTTCAGGAACCCCTGATGAAGATATGGGAGATGTGTTGCAGTCTGTATCTTCTTCCTCATCTACAGAGGGATCTTCATTGCCTGGGAGGACTGATGAGGCTGTTAGCAAAGCAAGTCTTCCTGGAGCTGATGGAGCCGATGGTGGCTTGAATACAGGCTTGGGGGCCACTGGCCCCCAGGAAGCCCCTGTGTCTGTCCCTGGCATCCAAAGTAGTGCCAATATTGAACTTTCTGATGGAAAACAGAGCCAAGTCGATGTGGTGCAGGTGCCTGGAGGAGCCTTGGTGAATGGGGGATCTTCCCCCAGTGCCAGTCTGGTCCCAGTGGCTCCAGACAACAGCGGTGTTTCTGACAGCACAGCCACCTCGACAGCTGCTTCTCTGCTTCTCCCTGAGCATGGGCTGAGCTCGGGGCTGGCACCCAATGGAGACACCCACTCTGCCCCTGGCACCCAGAGTGGGAGCAGACCCCTGGTGCCAGGGGCACCGTCTGGGCTGGCAGGAGAGTCTGGAGGCATTTCTTGGTCTCTTGAAGATGAGTTGGCCTCAGGGATGCCAGCACCTTTGGGAGAAGCATCCCCCCATGCTCCCATATCCCCCAACACTGCCCCTGTGCTACCTTCTGCTCCACAGAGAGGAAATGCTGCAGAGGGGGTGTCTGTCAGCCCTGGGCTTTCCGCTCCACTTGCGGCACGTGAGTCGATAGTGGGGTCCTCTGCAGGGGGAAAGGGGGAGCTGGGGGCTTCTGTGCCAGGGAGTCCTGTCTTGCTCCTGCCTCCCTGTCAGCCAGGAAGCACTGGAGCCCCCTCCAGGGATACCAACAGCCCTGTGCCTGGGAAAGCAAGTGCTGTGCTCCCCAGAGTGATGGCAGGGCAAGGGGACGTGGCCCGGCTCCTTCCCAGTGTGACTGGATCTGGGGCAGATATGGAAACATCCACTCACTCCCCACCTCAGGGGAACCCAGGGCTCCCTGGCCTTCCTCCCACTGGGATCACTGCTGGTAGGACTGGATCAAAAATCCCAGGTCCAGGTCCTACTAGTGGCTCACCATCTGCTGCCCTGCATCCTATCCTGGGCAGTGAGCTGACCACCAGCTCAGCAAATGGAGCTCCTGCCACTGCTGGGTCGAGCCTCCCCAGAGCCTTCCCAGGCCAGGGGGGATCCCAGGGAGGGTTCCCAGCCACTGCATGCCCTGGCACATCCTGCAGCCCAGCTCCTGCTGACCCAGCCCCACAAAACCCCCTCCTCAGGGGCAGGGAGGTGCTTCCCAGGCCGGGAACTTCCACTGTCACCTCCCACACATCGTCCCCCGTGGTTCCAGCTCCACCAGGAAGGCCAGCAGCTGCCCCAACCCCGCTGCCCAGCCCCGCAGGTATGTGACGCTCGCAGGGCAGCCTGGGTGGGAGTAGCACATCCAGTTTCCTGCCAGACCATCCTGGGGGACATTCAGTACCCAGAAAGAAGGGGGCTGTTTGAGGCCAGGGCCCTGGAGGACACGCACCACTAGGGCCCCCTGCACATGAGCATGCACGATTGGCAGGCTGAGCCTGCCTTCAGTATGGTCCCATCAACTGGAAAACCCATCCCCTCCAAATGTTTTATTTAACAGACATAAATAGGGAACTGGAGGCTGTAAACATCTCCAGAAAGAGCTGTGGGAGTTTAATTCCCTGCTTTCCCCCGATGTAGTCCTGTACAATGTTTTTCCCTTCCTAACAGCTGTCCTTAAGAGTAGTATCCCAACGGGGCTGGATAAGGGAGGGGATAGTAACCACAAAGGCCATCACAGCAGGTTTAGGGCAGCTGTGTCCATGTAAGACAGTGAAAAGAGTGGGAGTAAGCTCCTGCAAGGGAAGGTGACATTAATAGTGTTCCAGGTGGATATTGGCAGTGTTCCTCCATCGTCCTTCTGCCTAGGCTGTGTCCCATTGAAAGCAAAATCATTTCAACCCTTGAAAGTTTTTGACACAGACCAAAGGCTGTGCTGTAAGTGTATTTTGGGGCTTATTTTTTGTTGTTTTCTTTTCCAGTTCCAGCTGTGCCCCTCTATGGATATGGAGCGAGGGAAAATGATCGGGAGTATGTGGAAAGGAGAGTAGATTTTAATTCTCCACTTTTCAAGCCCGAGACTGGATTCCCATTTGGGAGAACCCTGCGTGACTCTCTCTACGTGAGTCTACCTGTGCTTGATTTGCTGGGCAAGCAGCCATTGCCCAAAAACCTGGGAGAGGGACCAGTAACCAGGTGCCTGGGATGGGATCCCAGCAGGGTCAAATCTACTGGGATGCTGCTGGGGTCTGTTTGCAGCAGAATGTGACTTTGTGGCCATTTTGGCAGTGGTAGGTGGTGACTTTCCTTGAGTGTGGACTTGGAAAGTCCATGTGGACTTGGAAATGGGAGGGCTGCCATCCCAGTGTCAGGGAGTACCACTGGTCCTGACCTTACCTGATGGAGAGATCCCTCTGCTCAGTTTACAGACAATGGACAAATCGTTTTCCCAGCCTCGGACAAAGGCATCTTCACATATCCCAACCCTCCTCCCGGCGGCTTCAATGGCCATGAGGAGGTTCCCATGATCGCTGTATTTTGGGACAATGCCGACTTCTCCAGAGGGGTGGGCACCACCTTTTACCAGGTAAGTGAAGCCACCTGGGTGCATGGTTGCATGAAACACCTTTTGGTTATAAACTCATCACATATTCTGTGGATGCCCCATGAGATGTGTAATTAATGGAGCCCATGAGTGGCTTTTCCCTTTTCTGGGCCAAATCTAAGAGCTGTTGGTCCTGTGTCACCTCTTGAGCCATCCAAATTCCATCCAGACCCTTAGTTGTAGGGGTCTGTGCATGACCCCAGTCTAGACCAGTCTTTTCCCTACTGGGAGCTAATGAAGATGTGGGTATATCCAACCTGCAGGAGTTCTCCACCCTCAACACGGCCAAGCCTCCGTTTGTCCGTGACGTGGAAGCGAAGGTTCGGCGGTACATGAGGTCCTCCTACTCTGCAGCCTGGACCCTGAAAATCACCTGGGAGAAGGCACCTGTCTATGCATCACGGAGTGACACCCGGAAGGTAAGGGGCTGATGGATCACACAGGCTGGTTGAGTTGTCAAAAAAACCCAAGATCCACAGGTGATCACCTTTTCTGTGCCTGAAAATAAGAAACCAGTTTTGTGACAAAGGTCAGTCTTGAAGAATTTTGCCAAAAAGAACTAGGCTGTGCCCATGTTTTGGTGGTTTTCAGATTTTTGAGGGACATCTTTAGTTGAACTCTCCCTGCTCTGTAAAACCTTTATCTTTAATGCGATGGGAGTTTACTGAGCACCAGAAACACTGTCCTTCAGAGACATAACATGGTGTGAATTTGAGGCTTGCCATGGAACAACTTCAAAGTAAAACCATCACATTTTCCATTTGAAATGTGAACTGGTTCAGGCTGTGTTTGCCTTGCACCTCCAGACCTCAGTCCTGCCATTCCCCAGAAAGCTCTGACCCACACCCCTAACTTTAAACTCACCATCTTTGCTCATTTTCTTACCTGTCTGCAATACTTGTCTCCAGACGATCACATACCAGGCCATCCTTACCACCGATGGATTCAGGTCCTACATCCTGATGCTGTACCAGGATGGAGGGATGCAATGGGATTACACCAGACTCGCTGCCACCAATGTGCTCATCGGCTACACCAGGTACAGCAGCTCAGCACCCCATCCCTGCCTGTTCTGAGCAATGGGGTGCATCCCACCCATGGCTCCAGCTTGCTGAATCCTTCCCTGTGTCCCAGGAGGTGCCTTACAAGGATGAGGATGAGGACAGCCCAAATGGGGTCTACATGCCCATACAGCCTAACATATGGGTGTCTCAGAACCAAATTTGCCTCATTAGTGACTGGATAATGCTGCAGCACGCTGTCTTGCTGGGCTGTGCTTGTTGTAAGATCCACAAATCCCTCTGGAGTCCTGGGCCCCCAGCATCCTGGCAGTTTGGGTGGAAGGAGTGGGAAATAGGGGATGTTTGCTGAACTTTGCACCAGTTGAGGGAAGGGATTTCCGTGCTTGGCTAGAGCAGTCGCTTCCTGCCTCCTCACATTACATCTTGCCCTGTACACAATGTCTCCAGGGTTTCCTCATTAGCTGCTTGTTGCAGCTGGGTAAGGAAAAGGTGGCCTGGACTGGAAGCGCGGGTGGCACAGGCGTGTGGGTGTGTGTGTGTGTCTGTGTGTGTGTCTGTGTGTGTGTCTGTGTGTGTGTCTGTGTGTGTGTCTGTGTGTGTGTCTGTGTGTGTGTCTCTGTGTGTGTCTCTGTGTGCGTCTGTGTGTGTGTGCGCTTGCCTGTGAGTGACTGCTCGAGGGTTTCTGCTCCATCTCGCCCGACAAGATGCTGAAAACCATGGGAGCTGCTTGTGGGGGTCTTCAGGTGTATGTGGGTTCAACCCCTGATGCAGCAGGAGTGTTTGTAGCATCTAAAACTAACTGCACCCTGCATAGAGGAGGAAGCAGGCTGGGGGAGATGGTGCCTTTGCCCTCCTCTCCCTGAAGTTACCTACTGATCCTCCCTACTCAGTATCAGGATGGTTGAAGGGCAGCCTGGGGATGGGGCTGGGATAATCCCACCCAGGAAAAGCCCTGATTTTTCCTCTTTCCTCTGAACACAGTGGGGATGGCTTTTACTACAACGATGACCTGAGTAAGAGACCTCCAGCTGTTAAATATCGCCCTGACCAGTTCAGGGGCTACAACACAGGTAATGCCACACAGCCAGGGTAAGTTCACAAGGTTCACAAGGAGGGAGATTTTCCCAGGGAATGAAATCCAGCCTGCTGCTGTGGCAAGGCTCTCAATGAGTTCACCAAGGCCAGGCTTTCCCCCCAAACGCATATAATGCTTCCCCCAATACCAGCTATGCCCTGCGGCTGAAACATGCCTGCTGTGCCCATGGACTCTTTTTGTTCCAATGGCTGTGTCCCAAGGCTTTCTATATGGCAAGAGCCACTCCCCATTTCCCTGCTGTTGGGTTGCTGTTGAGCGTGGGATCCCATGGCTGGGGGTCAATGTGGGTTTAGCTTCCAGCATCAGCATCACACAGCTATCACCTCAAGGTGAAACAGCAGCTGTGGTCCCCTTGGCTGGAGGTGACAGCTCATGGTTTCTCTCCCTGCTCAGACCTCCGTGGGTTGTGGATTTACAAGCTGGAGAGTCGCGTGGGCATCAACTACCGGCTGAAGTGCCTGGCATGGACGGGGCAGCAGCAGGAGCCACGGGCATGGAGCCAGGGCCTGCCCACCTGCCCCTGTTCCCTGCAGCAAGGGCAGCAGGATCCACGCTTCAAGAGCAGCCGTGGAGGCAAGTGGACATGCTGCTTCCTCACCCTCCTCGTCCCTGAGCTGTCCCTCCCCACCTTCCCTGCAGGGGTGCCTGGGGTCCCTCCTGGCAGGGTGGGTAGGTGACCATAAGGAAAATGGGAAGGGGACTGCCCTCCCCTGCAGAGACAGGGAAAGTAAGGAGGAATGAGGGCTGACCTGTTCCTGTCATGTTAGACTGGCCAGAGCTGATCTAACATGGATGGGGATGCTGGGGACCGGGATCTCACCCTTGGGGACCACTTGGATGATCTCCATCAGTCCCTCCAAACCCCTATAACACCGTGGGTGATGTGGATATCAAGGAGCCATCCCCGGCCCCGCTCCTTGCTCCGAGGCAGAGGTGCTGGCCGGGCAGAGCTGCCCGAGGCTCACTGCAGTCCCGTTTCAGGCCGGTGGGCTGCCCGTGTCTCCATGCTGCACTCAGCCTCCCCTAACCAGCACGGCGCCGGTGTCCGCTGCCTGTACGACAGCCAGAACCAGCTCATCGAGGGGCGGCAGGAGAGGTACTGGAGGTCCTCCAGGCAGGCGTCGCCCTACCGTGGTAAGCACAGCCAGCCTTGGCATCCCCTGGCTGAGGTTGGCATTGTTGTAGCTTGTAAACAATTTTAATCTCCATGCCAATCTGTTTCCTGACGTGCTGTTTCCCTTGGAGGGAGTGTGGACCAGCTAAAAGCTGAAGCAAGCCTTGCCCTGGAGCCAGCCCATCTCCCTCTCCTGTCTCCTTCAGCCCCTTACTCTCCCTTTTGCCTCCAGACCAGGAGCTGAAGCTGTACGACTGGTGCTGCAACCGAGCGGGCAGTGCCCACCTCTGCGCCCGCTACAGTGAGAAGCGGCCGAAGATCGGCTGTGATGGATACCAGTCACCTGGCAGGGGTGGGTTTCCAGCCTGTGTGTGCTGGGGTGATGCTGTCTTGGTGCCCAGGGCTGGAGAGGGAAGCAGGAATGTTCCAGCCTCCCCATGGTTAAGGCAGCAAGAGCCCTGGACAGATGAGGGAAAGGTTTTGGGGTGCCCACATGCAGCTGTGCCATGCCCTGAGCTGTGCAGGGTTGTTGGGGGTATCTCTCAGCACATAACCACCAGCATTGTCTGGGGGTGACAGCACTGGGAGGGGAGAAGGACCACAGCTGATGTGGTTATGGTGTAAGCTGATGCAGGGCTCTCTTGCAACCCTGAACAGATTCCTCGGAGGAGATAGAGAGAGACTCAGATGAGGAAACAGGTGAGCAGGATTGCGGGTCTCCTTTCCCTCTGCCCATGTCCTCCTGCAAAAAAATGTTCTGGGGCTACCAGTTTGCCCCAGGCCCACGTGGGATTAGGTGACTGAACAAGTCTCATTTCTTCTTTGCAGATGGAGATGACAAGTAACTGGGGGGTTGCACACCCACAGCATGGTCTGGGCCACGGCTGATCCTTCGGATCCTTTGCTCTGCTCATCCCCTGTGTCCTCCCCTAGAACCCATCGCCCCTGCCCACCATGCAGGGCATCTCCCTTGTCCAGTGCCCGTGGTTGCCTGCACTGGCAACTCCGTATTTCTACATTTCTATGTTTTTAACCCAGGCTTGTCCCAAGGAGTCAGTTGTTTCAGTTGTCCTTTCCCAGCTGCAGCTGAGTGGGTGCCCATGGGCACCTCCTTGCTGGCAGGGAGGTGGGCAGGTACCCCCCACCATACACACACCACCCTTGTCCTTCCTACATCCCGCTGTGTTCCCATTCTGCAGGGTGAGCCTGGACCCCTGGCACCCAGGGAAAAGGTTTCTACACCTTGCATGGGTTGACTGTGGCCAATCCCCTGAGTGCCAGGGTGTACCAGGCTGGTCCCATGAGCCAGTCTGTCTTGTCCTCCACTTCTGTCCCCCAGCCATCCCTCACCGAGTGGTCCCTGGGCCCTGTGCCCAGGAGAAGGGACCAATTCTCCGGATCAAGCCAGAATTAGCTTGTCACATCTGCTGGGTGTGTGAGGGCAAAATGCAACCCCATGATCAGAAATGCTGGGAGAAAAATAATTTTTTGTGTGTAAGTGAGCATATTCCTTTCTTACAAAAAATAAATCATTGCCAAATCTTGTTTGTTCAATAAAACCTCTGAAGGTTCTGAGCATCACTGATCCTGCAGCAGCCCTGTCCTCTGCTGAACTGGGGTGGGAGGCAGTGATGGGGCAGGCTTGGAGCAGCAGGATTGCAGGATGCTTCTGTTCATGGATTTAGTGCTGGGGATGTGGGTGTCTGGGCTGCAGCTAAGCCAGGGTCTAAGGCACTTAGTGGGGCTGGAGTTGGAGTCTGATGGGGTCTGATACACCCTCCTTGGATCAGCATTTCCCATCACCAGAGTCGAAGGGCTGTAGGGGGATTGTGAGGAGCACAGCCCAACCTGTGTGATCTGAGCCACTGTAAGCAGTGTCCATGAAAATGGTGAGAGGAGACTTGCAGTTTTGCAGGGGGAATGAGAGGATGGAGCAACCAAAAAATCCATCTTCACTTTGGTTCTGTGAATGGGACCAGAAAAAAACAGGTACTTGAGAGCTCAGCAAGAGGGAAGAACGGCTGGCACGTGGACCCATGGGATGCAGACAATTTAGCAGCATGCCCTAATTTTTGGTTTATTCTATTTTGTTCCTATCAGGTTATAATCACTGTGTTGCCCCACCTGACCCTGCTATCAGGGACTCTGCAGGGTCTGGTTACATTGCACTAGCAAACACCCCAGCACAGACACATTCAAGGTTAATTCTGGCTGTCCCTGCAGATCCTCAGGAGAAGGTGAAATCCTCTTGCTTTGGTCACCCAACATAAACCCACGTTTTTCAATCAAAAAAGCTCCTCTTCTAGAGTGGATCCTCCCACAAAGACCAGAATCCAAAAGGCAGATGCCTGTCCTCTGCTTCCATGTGTTGGTGTTGCTGGAGACCTTGAGAGCAAGCAGCAGAGCAGGAGACAGCGTCTGGTTCCTTTGTGAGCCTGGAGGAGCCCGAGCAGGACCAGTGGCAGGCTAGGGCTGCTGGGGGGGCTGGCCTGGGGGCCTGATGTGGGGTCTCTGGATCTTTATCTGTAAATAAGGACAGGCCTCACCATGCTGTCAATATTGCACGGGCTCTGCTCTTCACAACAAGCTCAGACGGTGGTGTGGATCCCATGCCAGCCAAAGCATCCATGATGCTTCAGGACAAGGCACAACTCCCAAGCATCTTCAAGTCAGGGGGCCAGGATTCAGTTCCCAGCCCAAAGCTCCCCAACCCAACCCCCCATGGGGACAATAACCCCCAGGCAGACCTGGACTGAGGGGTCAATGGCCTGGAGCTGTGGTTTCCAATGCCTTTCCAGGGAGTGGGAACGGATGGGCTCTGCTTGTTCTTCTGCCATCGTCAAAGCTGGAGCAGGGAAGATGAGCAGAGTGAAGACTGGGGTGAAGCAGAGCCATGGTGGGGGCAGTTTTCAGGGATGTACTCACAGGAGAAGGGCCGTGTCCTCCAGAATGTCTCCTTGGCCCTGAGAGAGGGGAACAGAAAGGGGACAACATGTGTGGGGATGCTGGGAGAGCCTCTGCCTGCTCCTGGTGTCTGGGTCAGATGGCAAAGGGACAGCCCCCAAAGGGACTGTGGGGGTGAAATGAGGCTATGAAAAGAGGAAAAGCTCCAGCTGTTGTGCACAGAATTTCTTGCCTTGGCACAAGTGCAAACAAACAAAGTTTCTTCCCAGAGACCCCTGGCTTCAGGGCCAGCAGGGAGCTGGGAACATGGGCAGGACACAGCTCCAACCAGAGCAGGGGGCTTGGGGCTCTAAGCTTCCCTGGGTGAGGATGCCACCCCAAGACCAAGGGCTGGGGGGAAAGTAAGGAGATGATAGTGCTTCCACCCCAGCCTTGCACCTTGCCATTCTTCTGTTAACTCCCTGCTCTGCAGGAGAGAAAGGTCCAACCCTGAAACCACTTTTTCTTACTCCAGGTCAACTCTTTCCAGACATGGGTGAACTGCAGTGGAAATCATTCGGGTGGTATTCAAATTAGAATTAAATAGCCTGTCTGTAACCAAGCACTGGGTGGGATAAGGAAGAAATGCAAACTTTCCCTGACATGGGGGAGAAAGAGAAGCTAATGTTCAACCCACTGATGTTATCACACCTCTGAGCAGCAGATGACTGGGAAAGGAGCTGGAAAATGCTAAAAGGTCACCCAGCCCTTTCCCCAGGCCAGATGAGTCCCACCACTGGTGGATCTTCCAAAGGTGGATTTTCCATCAGTTTTTCTTTCTGACACCCAACCTGCTCCCCTGCTGCACCCCCAGCACCCACCCCTGTGTGGGCCCAGCCCACGGCTCACCCCTGGTGCTGGTGGCAGTACCGGCGGCAGAGGTGCAGGGTCAGGCAGACGATGGCAAACAGGAGGCAGAGCAGAGCCAGGGCTCCCAGCAAGATTCCAAGGAAGGCGGTGAGGCTGATGGCCAGCCACTCACACCGGGCGCCGGCCGGGGAGAAGATGGAGAAGGGCAGGCAGCTGTGGATGGGGAGGGAGGAGCAGTGATGCTGTGGGGAGAAGTGGCCGTGCTGGGTGGCCTTGTCCACCCCAGTGCTACTGCTACCTGCATGTGGGCCCCTCTGGCAGGTGCTGGCACTGGCCGCCGTGCTGGCAGTAGCCCATCTTGCAAGGGGAGATGCAGATGAAGCCAATGGTCCCCACGTAGTGGAGCTGGTAGCCCTTGTAGCCATACAGAGCACAGGGGAAATAGTCCCTCAGCTCAGCCACTGTCACTGGAGAGGGAGGGCATAGGGGTTAGGCCACACAGCATCACCCCTTGACGCTACATCAGATCTCCCTGAGCTGGATCTGTGCCTGGGGTGGGGGAGGCTGCCCATGCTCCTCCTGCGCAGGCATTAACTGAATGCAGGGGCACAGAGAGGGCAATGGGGACAGCAGGGTGCTCCTCCCACCCTCCATAGCTCAGTGCTGGGAGCAACTCACACTTCACCAGGTCAGTGATGTTGTCCTGGTGCAGATGCTGGAAGAGGAGCCCTGTGCCTGCCTCCCGTCGCCCCTGCCACCCGTTGAAGGTGCTGGTGATGGCCACTGGCAGCTCCTCGTTCAGGAACCGGATGACGGTGCTGTGGCTGTTGTAGGCAAACTCAGACACCACCACAAAGGTGAAGCCATCACTGTCTGTCCTGCAGGGAAAAGAAGAGGCTGCTGGCAGAGCCACTGCTCCATCACAGAGTGACTGAGCCTCACTGTGCCTCAGTATTCCCGTTTGGGCGGTGGTAAAGAAGGGATGAGGCAGGAGGCAGAGGGTGCCAAATGGCTTGTGTCTCTAAGGGTTTACCAGCATCAACACTGGAAAAACAGACTCTGGGTGAGAAACCAAACCCTTGGCCCCGCACCAAGCCCTGCCCTGCTGGATCACTGGGGTGGGCATGGGTCTGCTTCACTGCTGACTCACGTCTGGGTGATGTTGGTGTTGCTCTGGAAAGTCTTTACCTCCAGGGAGCCCAGGATGGCTGAGACCTGTGGCAGGGGGAGCGGAAAGGCATTAGGGGAGGGCAGAATGGCACCATCATGGGGAGAGGTTGAAGGGTGATGCAGGCACATTGGCTGAGCTCCAGGGGTTGCCCTGGCCTTTGGTTCATGTGCTGGGAACCTGGCACATGGCCATAGTCATAGCTGGCATCATGCAGCTGGTATTTCCTCCCTGTGGGCTTGTAGATCTGCTGGATCCCTAGAGATCCCATGGCAGGGAGGCATATGGAGGCATGAGCACCCCAAGCTGCCGTGCTGCCCAGTGTGCTGGCATGTCCCCCTCCCTCAGCCCATCCCGTGACGTACAGTGCTGTTGACTTCCTCAGTAGTGGTGTTTTGCAACGCCCTGACCCGCAGCTGGATGCTTCTCAGGGGCAGATCTGCTGGGGGAAAGCCACAGTGGTGGCTCTGGAATTCCAGGACCAGAGTGAGTGGGATTGGGGTTCACCCCCCACCGTGCACAGGCACCCACCTGCACTGGGCAGCGGCCGAAAATCCCCCCCTGCCACCAGGCAGCGCTGGTCTGTGAAAGCTGAGGGGCAGGCACAGGTGGGGGTGCAGGTAATGGGGTGCAGATGGCAGCGTCCCCCGTTGCTACAGTAACCCTCGGGGCAGTAGTGGGATCCACAGGCTGAGCCACAGCCTGGCCTCTTGCCTGCAGGACAGGGAGCCCAGATCAACTGGAGGCATCAGGCTGGCCCCAGGGCATTGAGCCATCCTCAGCTACTCTGTAAGGCCTTTCTTCCAAGATTTGTTTTGTTTTTCTTTTGTGTGTTAGGACTTCTAGTGTAAACTCAGATCCTCAAGCAAAAGCTCTTCGTCCCCCCTCTCCCAGCTGCAGCCATTTGCCCTTGTGAAATCCCAACCTGCTGCACTAGAATGTGAGCAAAAGCCATCACTTCAACCCCATCACAGCCATCTGAAAATACGGTCTGATTTCATCCCCCAACCTCTGCATGTGAGATTTTTTTTCTCAAGGAGAAAAATTGCATGGGAAAAATTTCCCTCCCTGGAAGATTAGTGAGATCTACAGCCTGAGAACACAAGTGGCGGCTGGACTCCAGTCCCTTCTGATAAGGACAGCAAGGCCTGGGCACAGAGCTCAGGCAGCTCTCACTTCTCTCCCCTCCAGCCAGCCTGGGTCCCACAGGAACCCTCTTCCACAGAGCCCAGAGGTGATGGAGCTGAGGATCATTCCTGCCAGGGAGTGTGTACTCACCCTCCTCACTGGCTGGGCAGGAGCAGATGTAGCTCCCCACCGTGTTGGTGCAGGTGGCATTCCCCGGGCACTCCATCCCCTGCGCGCACTCATCGATATCTGCAGAGGCAATGCACCATGGCACCGGGAGAGACATCTTGGCTGGGGTCCCGCAGGCTTTCCGGGTTCCCAGCAGCCAAAGCGAGCCCTTATCACCTGAGCAATGCCGTCCATCGCCTGTCAGACCAGCTGGGCAGGGGCCGCAGCCAGTGTATGAGTCACAGCCCACACCAGGGAAGCATCCCTGGGAGCAGGGGTCCAGAGGGTCCTGGCACAAGGGACCTGAGTAGCCACTCTTGCACCTGCAGGCTGCCAGCTGGGAAGGGGACAGTGAGACTGGCTTAGGA